TATAATTCCGCTAACACGTCATACTAATATTTATTTGATTTTAGAATACATATTTATTCATTGATATAGGAAAAAATAAATTTTTTATTAATTATTGTTCACCATATAATACTGAATTATTATTTTATTATAAAATTTACAGTCATATAATGTAATTATTATTATTTATAAAAGTTATAGAAGTAGTCTTTCTTATGTAATGAAATTCAAAATAAAATTATGAGTATAAATGTTTACAAAATACACACACATGTTTTTTAGAATTTAATTTTCTCATAATAATTCTTTTTAAAAAAAAAAAAAATGATTTAGCAATTGTCAAAAACTAAATCCCTTACATAATCAAAAGATTTTTTCTAATTTTCATCATAAGGCTTTATAGTTTATTTAACATACTATGCAATAGAAAAATATTTTACAATAAGTTCATTGTTGAAACATAACAAAAAAAAAGTGATAAAACACTATCATAGTTGACAATAATATACAAATAAATAACATGTCGAAATTTTAAAGAATAACTATAATTTTATTATCTAACCATCAATAAAATCATTTAATGATGTGATCATAATCTTTTAAATAATAAATAATATTAATTTTCTTTTAAAATAATATTAGTGTTATATAATTAAATAAATGTTAAAAAATATTACTCGACAAATATTAATTATAATGGATATCAGTAAAATCATTGCATAAATTATTTAAGGAAAAAATTTTGAAGATTATATTTGGATAGTAAATGTAAATATGCAAGCATTTAATGCATATAGTAAAAAATTTCTAAATAAAGTATGTATTAAATGTGTGTTGACTTTTCTTGCTATTATTTTTGGTAAATAGGTTAGCTTTTAATATATATATATAGATAGATTAATTATAGGATACGTGTCAATATATCTATTAATATATAATAAGGATTAACTTAATTCACTTTTAGTAATCTTCCCTCCAAATTCATTAATTATTGTCTAAAATTAGTAATTTAATAAACTTTCATTAATTACATATTGTAATATGGAATAGATGTTTTTTCCAATTAAATCTCTATAAATATGGAATAGATGTTTTTTCAGATTAGAATCTCTATAAATATTAACTTAACAAACTTTCTATTATATATAATAGATGTTTTTTCCGATTAGAATCTCTGCAATATGGAATTTAGAATCTTTTGTCGAGTGAGCGTTTCCGTAAAAAAGTAATTAAATTAATTAAATCAATTGATTCTGTAAAAAAAAAGGTAAATGCATCTATATGGATTTATTTACATATTGTTCCGTAAATTAATTACCTATTGTATGGGCTTTGATTCCCTAAAAAAGGAATAAATTTGACGCGTGAATAAATTGACAAAATCTATACTTATATAAAAAGACATTCTATTTGCTAGAATTAGTAGTAAGAAAAGTCAAAGGTAATTAATGCATTCTATTTCCATAAAGTATTTTATTTAATTATTTTAGTTAATTATTTTATCTCATAACACCTTTTCAATACAACTTACCATGATTTTTCTATTGTGATTAAAAACCAAATTTTACGTTTAAAATCTTGTGAAATTATTATTATTATTTTTATAAAGCACATATTATTTGTTAAAAAATTTGTATATATATATATAATACACATCACAATACCATAATAGATGATTTAAAATTCAACCAACCAAAGTGCCAATAATTTAAATTTGAATATGCATTTGACTAAATGTCTGGATGATTTAAAATTGAACCCATAAAAAAATATTTAAATTTGAACACACCAGAAATTTTATGTACTTTTTATTTATAAATATATTGAAAGTGGTACTTAATGGCTGTTATATAAACTATTTTAATATATTTGCAATGAATAAAAGTTTGAATGAATAATTTGTAATGTTATTCATAATGTTTGTGACTTATGAGACACGAACACATAACTCCATACATATTTACCAGAGGGCGTCATAATAATTTTTTAGACTTAACGTTGATTAGAAGAGGTAAAAAATAGATAATAACATTATTATATTTTAGACTTAAACGGATAAGGCTGTGAAAATAACTCATTTAATATCTTTGTCTCGTGCATTGCACGGGATACGTACTAGTTATTTGTGAATGACTGTGGATTGCTCGGTAAGCCGAGCCATTCGATAATTGCATAACAAAACTGAAGCTATTGGAATACCACCGACGGAAGTGAAGGAAGCCACACTCGACGGACAAACTGCGCTGCCCACCGTACCGGCGGCGGCGGAGACCTGACCGCGTCTTATCTCCTACTTCTTTCGGTTGGTGTAGCTAATTATGCAAGGTAAAGTGTTTGCTGTTTATGTAAGAAAATTAATTATTCTTTTTTTTGGTGTGTGTGTATAGGGTTTCTGCTGCTGCTGTTCCTCTCTCGTCCTGTTGGTCATGGATTTGGAAGCTAATTACGAAATAGCTCGCGTGGCGGAATTCATTATAAGCCGTAACTTCACCAGAGTAGCTCTGCAGGTAGCAGTCGTTTGTTTGTGTGTGTGTGTGTGTGTTGAATGGTATTTTGTTGTTGCAATTTGCCTTGACAGTGTTTGATTATTTTTCTCATTTGATTGTTTCGATTAGTTCCCAGATGAACTACTGAAAGATTCTATGAGGGTTGTGAAAGCTTTGCGCCAAGAGCTCGAATCTCATGTGAAATTGTATGTAATGGCTGACACAACATACGGAAGCTGTTGCGTAGATGAAGTTGGAGCAGCTCATGTCAATGCCGATTGTGTCGTTCATTATGGGCACACGTGCCTCAGCCCGTGAGTATTACATTGTTCATCTCTAGTTTTAGAAGTTATCGAGACGAAAATATTTTGGTGAATTTATTTCGTAACCTTTTGTTTTCCTTTCTAATTTTTTTTCTCGGAAGGTAGTCACTAAATTTCTACTTTCTAGAGGGCTGAGTTTGTAAGTGCAAATTGAGCTAAGTGAGCCCTTGCAACAACTTTATTTCATGTTTGGTTAAAAGTATGCTGGAAATCATAGACCCAGATCAGCATTGCCCTTACATCTTTGTAGTTTGTACAACAGTTGGGGATGCATCTTGCTTTTATTTTGACCTTTATGTGAAGCTAATAATTATGAGGCCTTGTGTCAAGTAGATTATGTAATATTCTTTATGGTCTTTTTTCAGGACATCAACACTTCCTGCATTGTTCATTTTTCAAAAAGCTTCTGTCGTCACATCAAATTGTGCCAGAACTTTACTTGATCATGGATTGAAAAGTGGGAAGCCTATTTTGGTATGACAACATGATCCTTTGTGCTCTCTGCATCTATACTAAAATTTAGCATTTAAATTATCAGTTATCTGAATCTCCCTTGCGTTTGATTTCTAAGTCACATTTGTCGATTATTTGCGAAGATAAGCTTCTAGATGCACACTTGGTTGTTTCAAACTGTTGTACTAGCTCGATATTTGTCTTCCTCTTGAACCACCTCTGCTGTCTTTTCACATTAGCAATTCTTAACTGCTTTTTATCGTAGGCCAACTTGTCCATTCCAAAATTTTCATTTAGTTTATGCCCTTAATTACTACTATATATTTAACAAAAGACTCTGGGGTCTAGTTTCACTATATTAATTTTCTCATCAAGAAGATTAATACAAATTCACAATCATTTTTCTAAAGCATAATATCGAAATGAGTTGGTCTGAAATGCATGTCTGAAAATTTATGTCCAATTTTAAAACCTCAAAATGTTAATAGCCAACTTGACGGCATTTTCTGGATGAATAGAGCTTTAATAAATTGATAGAAAAATTCCAATGGAAGATATACTCATCTGTCCGCCAAGAGGAGTGCAAAGTCCTAATCAGTGACTTAGTGAATGAGCTATTACATTGACACTAGATACGTTATTGAATGCTTCATTAGTTCAATATGCATTGTCTTAATATGGATGCAAACTTTCAGTCTCTTGTGGTTGGTGTACGTGTAATATACTTTGTAGTCAGGAATGTTGACGATTATTGTTTCGTTCTTTCTCGACTTTCTATAAGCATTAGTTGTTTGTTCTGCCTAAGTTATGAATGCTAAAAAATTGTAGATTTTAATTTGTTGTCAGTTGCTTATGTTACACATATCTAGGTTCTTTATGGACTGGAATATGCACATGCCATATCCGAAATAAAAAAATTGTCCACATCTAGTGTTTCAAGTGCACATGGATCTACACCCACACCCATCTTAGAGCACTTCTATGCTGATGCAAACTCTCCAGTTATAAGCCCGTCTGAAGAATGTGGGGTTTCAAATGAATGTGAAACTGAAACCGAAGAAACTGGTCAAAATTACAACATCGGTGGTTTGAGTTGGAGATTACCCCAGGGACGGAAAATGGAGGATTATTTACTTTTCTGGATTGGCTCGGAAGATACAGCATTTGCCAATGTTGTACTGACATTCAATAGCTGTGAAATAGGTAAATTTTTGTGAGATTTTTACATAAATATCAAGTTGATAAGAAAGAAACAATATCTGTATAGCTTAGAGATGTGTTGACTCACGGGTCAGGCCTCCTTGGAAGTTGGATTTACCTTCTGCAGCACTCCATCTGCTTGGTGACCCTGCAATATTAATTTCTTTAATTGATGTTGCGTCAACCTTGGTTTAGGCAGGACACGAGCTTTGAACAAACATCTAAAAAAACGACATTATGCTGCATGTATGCTACTTCTGTTTTTTATTATAATTATGTAATAAAAAGTTTTACCTTGTCTGTGTTGTTTTTAGTCAGATATGATGCAGCAGGAGATAGATTGATTAATGACTTGTCTCAAGCGAAAAAAATCCTTAGGCGCAGGTGCTAATCGTACACTTCTTCATGCTGATTGCAACTTCTGTTATTACTATTGCTATTACCTTTTCCTTTGAGATTTTGTCTGCGATGTGATGATAATCATGAACTTCACAGGTATTACCTAGTTGAGAAAGCAAAGGATGCCAACATGATCGGAATCTTGGTTGGGACACTTGGTGCAGGTTGCCTTTGTGTAAAATTCATCAGCTACATTTGTGATTAGTTTATGCACGATGCATTTGAAATGACGAGAAGTTAACTTTGAAGTGTCTCATCGTGTTCTTTTAGTTTTGCTATAATCCTTGGGTTCGACCCCTGTTTTTCTCCTTAGGCACTTAAAAGCAGTTGAAATTGCTGGTCTTATACATTTTATAATAGGTGAAATTGTATAGTGAAAAAGTGCAAGATGTAAATAGTAGTTGGTTAATTAGTTCATCCTTGACAAGCCCTTAAACAATTTTTTTTTTTGTAATGAATAGAGATGAGCTAGGGCTAGGAGCAAACTTATTAAATAAATCTTTAAAAGTTTGCTCCTCCATTTAGTTCTCCCAGTACATTGAGATCCCCAAAGTTGCATTTACAAGAGATGGGGGGTATTACCCATCGAAATTGGTCAGTGACCTTGTGCTCGTGATAATTAACTCTACCTTTGTCTAATTTTTGAATGTTCAGAAATGTCATAAATACATGAACATGTTGCTCTTACATTTCATTTTTTCTATGTACTGATTCTCTTTGTCCTTGATACACCCCAGAAGTCTAAAGTTTTTCCCTTCCAAAATGCTCTTTCAGCTGGTTATCTTGACATGATCAATAAAATGAAGGAACTGATAACAAAAGCTGGGAAAAAGTCGTATACATTTGTTATGGGAAGGCCAAATCCTGCAAAACTTGCTAATTTTCCCGAGGTAAATATTATTAACTTCGAGAATATTATTTTCTTACGTCTTTTACCTTTGACCATAATACTTGTCTCTAATGTTTTTGTGGTTGCAGTGCGATGTTTTTATCAATGTATCTTGTCCACAAACTGCTCTATTGGATAGTAAGGAGTTCTTAGCTCCTATAATTACTCCGTTTGAAGCCATGCTTGCTTTGGTCAGGTATTAGTTTGAATCGTTTTAAGTCATTAACTAGTTTGGATGATTAGAACCTGTTGTTGATCTGGTTGTACTTAGCTGTTGATGCTTTCTGAGCTAATTAGGTAGCTTATTTTTTTTTGTAACTTCCGTACATCCAGGGCTTTTGAGTTCATGGTTAAGGATAATCTATAGGTAGGTATTGGAAAATATGTTTTTGAGGTTTAATATAATTAGAAAAAACCTAGCTATTTCAAATTGCTAATACTGGTTTTGGCTGCGTAATTCCACCACTGCACCATCAACAAATTAAAGGAGCACTTCATCCTGTCCCACCAGAAAGACAGGCCACTTTACTATTTTGAGTGCCCCACAAAGATATGAATGTTACTTAACTGGCTATTTTATAATGTTAAGTTTCATTGCAACTTGTCAACTGTCTTTAACTAGATTCGTGAATAAAAACTATTGGGGAATTATCAGTGTTTCCTTGATATTGTTGGTTTCTTTCTCAAGTTTATCATAGTGTAATTGTCTCAAAAATTGTCCTTAGTTCTGAATGCGATAATGTGCACTCTGTGTGTCCGTCTGTCTGTTATGTACACATTCTCTGTATAATGTGGGCCCATTCTGGTATACCTTTAGTATGTGGCTCCTGTTTCTTACATTGCATCTATGAAATATTAGTTAATGGTTTCTATTTGTCCTTGGTCGAGCATGGTGCTCATTAGAATTTCAACAACTGTGGGACTTTATAAAACCTGTGATGATGCAGGTTCTTTGAGATCTATTACAACTAGTGTTGTTAAATTAGACGAGCATGGCTCGGCTCGTTAAGGCTCGAGTTTGGCTTGGCTCAATAAGGCTCGCTAAGGCTCAAAAAGAGAATTTTTTATAATTTTCTATAGTACGGTTTGTTAAGGCTCGAGATCTGCTCGTTATTAGTGATGAACGAGTTGACTCGAGCTCGAGCTCGGCTCTTTTACAGGCCTAATGTCTCCACAATATGCGTGTCAACCTTTTACAATTCACTCAAACACCAAACTTCTATTCCCCAAGCATCGGTTACCGGATAAGTCCTCGATTGGAGGAACTTGATGGCATTTTTTTCAATTATGGATTTCAAATTAGTGCTTTTCAAATTTTCACTATCTGCATCTTGATTCCTAATTTCCTAACTATCATAATAGTGATATTTGGGTAGCGAGTACTGAGTGTGTGTATATGTGTCTGCCGAGGACATTTGGGGTTATGGTTTCTATCATGCAAAATGTTCTGTGTTCTAACTAGTTATCGTGAAATATATGCTTGGCTAACCTATTAGATTGTAATGAAGCAAACTTTTCTGCTAAGGAGAGTTTCGGAAGACCAGTCTCGGGTCCCTAACTTAAAGAAGGATGATTAAAAGAGTGCAAGTTAATCATGGTGTCTGTTTCCATTCTTCTGTTAGAATGATTTATTACATTTGGTCTCGATTTTCAGGGGAAGGCAATGGACAGGAGAATATACAGTGGAATTTCGAGATTTGATTGCTTCATCTCCTTTAGCATGTGAACAACAGCCTGACGAGGCACGGTTTTCTTTCATTCAGGGTAGTTATGTTGAACATTTGGATCTACAAGGTACTTCAATTTATTTTCCTTCACATTTATATTTGCGTCAACTTAATTTCCAAATAACAATACATCTCTCTTTCTGGCCCCTTCTTCCTCTTCAAATAATTAAACATCTCTCTCTCTCTCTCTCTCTCTCTCTCTGGCGCTTCTTTTTCTTTTTCTTTTTCTTCATTTGTTTTTCTGAAGATGAAGAGGAGAAGGATGAAATCCTTGCACTGGTGAACACCACAGAAAAAGCCGTGCAATTGAGGAGTGACGATAACAAAAGTGTAGCCAAAACCGGGGCCGAATATCTAATGAGTCGATCGTATCAAGGGCTGGAAATTAGTGGGATCGAATCTCCTCCGGGGAAATTTTTGACTGGGAGAAGTGGGAAAGCATCAGGGTACAAGAACGAGAATACAAGGTGACTCGGATTTTTCAAAACCTGAGAAATGGTTTTCTGTTCTTGAATTTGCAATATAGCCCCAACTTTAAGGGGATTTATCATGGATAACCAGATTGTACTTGTACTTGCTGGCCTTTATCGTACCTTTATCCAATGTTTTTTTAACTAGGACTGGACATTCAACCAGGACAAATCATTGAGTTATTGGGTCACTGGTCGGATCGGTTGAACAGTTTATTTTTGGAGAAACCTATACATACTTACGGGAAATGCTACGGTCCCGTTACAGTACCATCCCTTCGGGTGTTTTAACCTTTGGATACACATGTTGTTAGTATAAGATAGATGGTCCAACGGTTAAAACACCCGACGGTATGGTACCGTAACGGGACCATCGCATTTCCCGCATTTCCCCATACTTAAATGATATATATATATATATATATATATTTTTTTTTTTGAAATTATATTTTTCTCTGAACTTGTATATCAGCCTTTGTCTTGACACAAGAGTACTAGTTTGTATTATTTAATATTTAGAGCAATGAAGAACAAAAACTCCTTTTTACCAATAAATTTTCCTGTATATACACAACATACATAAGTGCCCACTGCCCAGCCCCAAAAATTAAAATCTAGCACGAAGTAGCACAAATTTGTGGTATCATAAAGTTTTACTGGATTTACTGTCAAAAGACAAGAAACAAAAATACCCAAAGGGAATGAAACAAAAAAAGAATCATCAAAATAAGGGAAAATGAAGAACCTATCTCACCACCTAATTGGTTACCACGCTAGTAGTACTCCTCAATCCTTTTTAGGATTTTTTTTTTTTTTTTTCATTACAGTTTTTCAACTTTTCATGATTATTTCACAAAAAAAAAAAAAGCCCCCACAACCCCACTTTCTCTCTCTCCTCTCTCTAGCTCTTAAAACGGAAGCCTAACCATTAGACCGACATACTTTCTTCCACGTACTTTCACAACAAGAAAATTGCCAATACTTCGAAAAATAATATAAATTGAAGTATGACATCTAATAGCACAAATCTGAATCTTTGTCCATATAGTATGACGGGTCGACTCGCCTAACGATTAAGCCTTTCTTCAAGAAGACTGCCTCACAGAACAAGCCACTGCTTGTGCCCAATGCCTCAACTTTGTCTTCACATGTTCAGGATCATCACCTGTTCACATTCACAACATACATGTCATGTTATATAAACAAAGCACATTCAATTCACAAACCTCAAAAATCCATTCTTTCGAGTCGTACGACACGTACCCGGGCTGCAAATCTTCCAATTGGATTCCGAGTCGCTCAGCGGGCTTCCCCCGAACGACGACGACCTCCCCCCAATGTTAGACGAGCTGGCATTGCTGCACGGGCTCAAAACTGGGCTCGTCGACAGCTGTCTGTTGACCGCAAAGTAAAGGTCAAGTGCTGGGATAGTTGTGCACAGCCGTTGCCCGTCTTCCTCGTTGAAACCGAACCCCAACTCTATGCACCCTTTCAGTTCATTCAAGTCCTCGTCCGTTAGATCGTGATCGGTCATCATTTCCCTCACATTATTATTCCTTTTACTATTATTATTGTTGTTGTCGTTGTTGTTGCTGTTGTTGGTTAAACTGCTTCGCCTGCGCTCCTGGCAGAGGAGGAACTGGCGGCGCCGACGCTCCCAAGCCATGTCGCGTGGGATTTCGCAGAGCGACAACTGTTTCGAGAGCTTCCGGCGGTCCCCGCTAGGGTTCCGCCAGAAGGGCGGCGCGTGCTCGAGGCGTTGAAGCTCCTCGTTTTCGTCCTCCGAAAGGGATGACGAGGACGGAGGGGATGACGGGGCAGGCGGGCGCGCCCGAGGGATTACGTTCACGGCCTTCGGCTCACCCGTGTTCCTTGATAATTTCATAGTATATAATATATCTAATTTCGTTCGTTCTTTTTCGGTTAGTTGTTATCTAAATAAGGGAAATGAGAAACGAATATGATATAGGAAAAGGTCTTCTTCTTCTTTTTTTTTTCAGCCACGGCGGTGGGAGGACGGTGGGACCGCCGTGGAAGGTTCGTGTCGCTTTTTGTCGGCCGAGATCAAACGAGTTTTGCGGTTGTTCTTGGTCGATCGGGTCTTTCTTTTCTTTTTCTTTCTCCTTCTTTTGTTGGTGAAATTTGAATGAGGGGAAAATGGGAGTAAACAAGTTTTTGGAGGTCCTTTTTCTTATGTTAGTTAAGTTATTTTTAGTTGAATGGTGTGTGATGGGGCACCAACAAATGGTGCAGCCATGGCATTTGGGAATATTGGGAGGGAAGGAGTTAATGAATAATATTAAAGGAAAAGGCAAATGAGGGGACGTCCTTTCATTATGGGGCTTCTCACGTAGCTAACTGTCATTTTTTTAAAAAAAAAAAATTGTTTGTTTGGTTTTTGTTTAAAAAATGTTTTTCTTGCATTAAATTATATGAAATAATGATAATATCTGTGAGAGAATTTCAAATGGTAGTTGATGGAATATGAATTGTAACTTTTTGAAAAAACATATATTCTGTAGAATAAGGGAAGTTTCATGCAATGTTATTGATGATCACATATTTATTATTTTGCTCTTAATTTGTAGAATATATGATTTTTTTAAGAAATTAAATTTATTATTGTGACAGTTTTATGGATTTTAATATGTTTCCTATTAGTAAAGTAATAAGCTATACTCTAGTCAACATGTTTACCAAATTAATATGAAATACTCATGTTTGATTTCTTTATCCTAAAAATAATAAAAATAAATAAATTATACCAATTTCAAGCAATATTTGTATATGGTGCCCACTACACTAATAGGGTCCAGCATTCATTATTTGCATCATGAAAAAAAAAGCCCATATTTTGCAGTAGCAGAATTCTACTCAGACTCATTCCCACACTTGTGTCAAACGGTTCTAGTGGAACCATTCCGTCGAAATTTATAATCCTTATATCAACTATTTCCGACGGTAATCTAAGTTAAAACCCCACGGAATGGTTCCGAACCGTAGCTTTTTACCAGAAGATAAATGCAATTTTCAGCATAAAATTACGTGAAATAAAAAGTTCAGAAAAAAAAAAACAATCTCATTGCCCTTGAGAACTCAAATCAAACTCACAATCTGAAATCATGTCGACTAAATCCGTTATAGCAGCCACAAAATTGTCCGATCTGCTCAAAGGTCGAAAGGAACAGCACCATCTAAGATCTCAAAGCTCCGCCTGCTAATCCATCCCCTTTTCTCCGGCGGAATTCACCCACAGCGGAGACGCCGAACTCCAGATCTCGCCGCCTTCTCCTCCTCCGTCGCCGGATGCTGACCCGGCGCTGTATTACGGCACGCCGACGGCCGATCCGTCGGTCACTTGGTCCATCGCTTTCACCAGCAGATCGAGCCCGCGGCTAGATGATTTTCCGGTCGCCGTTAAAGGCGGTGATAAAAAGGAATCAGATGAATTGTGGAGAGTAGCCGGAGAATGAGCCGCCGTGATGTGATGGGGGAAGAAGAAGATGAGATAGCTCTTGAAAAAATTTTGCACTCTTTACAGATTTCAGTCCGTCATGTTTTGTTTCGAGTATAAATAAAAGAATAAATTACAATTTTAGTACAAGTTCACATTTTTGAAAAAATGTCTTTGATTTGTGTATTTTAATACACGTTCACAATTTTAGTACACGTTCACATTTTTGTTTCGAGTATAAATAAAAGAATAAATTACAATTTTAGTACACGTCCTCTTTGATTTGTGTATTTTAATTTTTTCGAGTATAAATAAAAGAATAAATTACAATTTTAGTACACGTCCTCTTTGATTTGTGTATTTTAAATTTTGACACGTATGTTTGAAAAAAATGTTATAAAAAGGTCATTTTCGCAAGCAAAAAGTCTTTTATGTTGTGCAAAAAAGTGTTTCAATTTCGTCTCTTATGTATGAAAAGGACTTTTGCATAAATTTTTTTCAAACATACGAGACGAAAATCACAAACGTTATTTGAAAAGGACGAAAAAATTAAAGTAGTGAAATTTAGAGAACTAAAATTATAATTTACTCATAAATAAAATATACATTAGTTTTTGTTTTCGAATTGAATTACTAATTAAATTTGTTTACTAAACGGGTTGTGACGTCGAACAATTAATCGACCTTGTTTATTAAATGAGCCAAATGAAACTAGTTTGCGATAAAACTAGTTTTATATTTTATTTTAATATTTTATAGGTTTGGCATGAACGGTCGAGCATGACTTCTTCACAAACGTTAAAAATCGTATTCACAAACTAACTAGTTTAAACTTTTGAGTTTATCAAATAAGTTGAGCTGAACTTTAACAAACTTAAATAAGTCGAGTCTTTGGCCTCCTTTTTTGAACAAGCCGAGCCAACTCGTTTATTAAACGAACGAAGTGCTCGCCTCAACTCAACTCGAGCAACATTCGTCAACTGACTCACAACTCGTTTATTAAACGAGCACAAAACTTGAACACGAAGTACTTGCCTTAACACGACTCAAATTAGCTGAACCAACTGGTTCACTAAATGAGCACGAACTTGAACACGAAATCCTCGACTCAATTCGAATAATCACCCCTATATATAATTTTTGAATGCGCTGAGCCTACGTGGTTACTTCTGGTGCTTCGAAATCCTACTTGGCGAAAATCATGCTTCGTAATTAGGTTTGGACAAATAATATTGATATATTAATAATTAATAATCTAGGTTCGGACATTCCATAAATATTATTTAGCTAACTTAGGTATTTTAATATCACTAATACTAGTATAACCCTTTAATTCTTTGCAATTTTACATAGTGAGGCACTAAGTGACTATTATATCACTGACATTTGATTTGTTTTTTTCAATTAACTATTGAATTGTAATGTATTTTAAAAGTTGATAGCTTTTGTATTTCTTATCGAATTTACATATATAATATATCAAATTAATCATCTTTTGATGATCTTCGATTTGACATCCATATTGTATATATGAAATAAATAAATTATATTTATCTTTATAATAATAAATAATAATAATATTTATTAAATTCACTAGAAAAATAAAATTATTTCTCAATTGATATATTTATGTTTAATGTAGTTATATGTTGTAAGTTAAAAAAATTATTATAATATAACACATTTAAGCCGCACAAATAAAAAGTTTCATACTAAATATATAATAATATATATATTTTTATAAAAGGTATTTAAACTTTCAACTACTTTTTCTCATTAATTTTAAAGTTTAAGAAAAAAAATTAACAAGCACCTGGTAATAACGGGCGTTGTACTAGTACTCATTATTAGTTAAATGCACAAAATATTTAGACAATATCAAATTATAACACGTCAACATACGTTCGCATCATTGAAAAATTCCTTACATATGTAGACTATCCAACCTTTAGCCAGCAATATCTTTACGTAAAAATAAATGTATACTTATAGAATTTATTATAAAAATAAAAATAAAAGACAAAAATAAATAAAAAAATAGTATATAACATTATTTATAGTATGAAATTTCAATAGTGTAAACCAAATACCAACCCAACCCAAAATTTATTTTTCTGTACACAAGCATGTACATAAGAGTGCCCATGGAGGAACCCTAACAAAAACCGCTGCAAAAACCTTTTCAAAGTACAAAATCTCACACAGCTAAAATGATCCTATTTAGTCACACCAGACCAAAATTAGAAGCCAAAAAAAAATAATAATAATAAAAAAAAATAAAAAAAAAAAACCAGCAGAAGTTTCATCTCAGTTTCTTCTTCAAACGCAAAAGCGCGTTTGATTAAGCTAGTCATTGTATTCGAATAATACACGAAAAAACTGTTTAAATAAAAATTACACAGGACATATATGTACTCAGCAGAGAAATTCAGACATTACCTTCGGCAAAGTCACCGTAGGGCGAAACGAAAAAGTTGCCCTCAACATAACAAACAAACATCTTTTTTTTTCCTGAATCATCACAAAAAGAAACACCTCCAAGTCTTTTTTTGTTTTTTAACACTAAAGTCAGAAACTATTAACAGAAAGAAAGAGGAAACTCAAGACTCGACAATGGATAAATCTCCATTCCCAGGCTCAGGCTCGGGCTCCTTCACAGGTGAATTCTCAGCTGGTGTATCTTTCGGTTTTTGTTGACTCTTGACTTTTTTAGGCCCGTTTGTTCGGTCCTTGCCTTTGGGAGTAACGGGAGAAGAAGACTTCTTCAGAATAGGAGAGGCTTTACCATCTTTGAACTGGCCCACGCTGTGACGAGTGACTCGTCCAGAAAGTGGTTTGTCATCTGGAGAAGTTTTCGCTGCATCACCACAGCTCTTTCGCCTCGTCAGATTTGGAGATTTGGCTCGAGTTACTGGCAACTGCATATCGTGAAATCTAGTTAAACTAAGTTTTTTACTTTGTTGGGATAATTTTACATAAATATGACTATACCTAGAATATGTTTGGTAACCTAGCATATATAAGCTGATAAGCTAGTCTATATAGCTTTTAAGTGAATTTCAAGTTTGCAGCCGATAGCTTATGACTTATGGCTGAAAAAACTAGCATATCATAAAAGTGTTTGGTAAAATTAGCTAATAAGCTAAGAAATAAGAATTTCAATGGGCATATTTGAAAAGCTACCTAAAAAAGCTTATGAGATAAGCTCGCTAGAGTTTTTTT